AAGTCGCGCCGGCGAAAAAAAGTCGCGCCGGCGAAAAAAAAGTCGTGCCGGTGAGAAAAAGTCGCACCAGTGAAAAAAAAGTCGCGCCCTCGAAAAAAAGTCGCGCCAGTAAAAAAAAGTCGCGCCAGAGAAAAAAAAGTCGCGCCAGAGAAAAAAAGTCGCGCCAAGGGTAAGAAAGTGTTCGCCATAAAGAAACAAGAATACATTCCCAATATAATGCTGTACGTGCGCGTGTATGGCACTAACAGGGCTCCGTACTACGCGATGGAACCTATAATGCTAGCATACATTCCCCCTTTTCAGGTGGTCAGTCACGTTATAAAAAAGCCACCAAGCTTGGACGCAAGAAACTCACGTTAAGGCAAAGAAAAAAGTGCCCTTAGTCCTGTCCCAGCGGGGTTCTTGCGACTTTGTATCACGTGAGAGACAAATCGGCAATGGTTCGGCGTACGAGGTTGCAATGTAGCATACATGGAGTATCTGCCTGTCTGTTATTTTCAAGATGGCGCATTCTGGTATTTCTGCTGGTGCAAAGGGCAGACTTGTCTCGGTGATTGGAGACGAAGTAAGGCTAGAGTGATGTATTCAATTGATTTAAAAAATACTTATAACAAATGGGAATGTTTTTCTCTTCCCTCAAGGATACATGCACTGGGTTTTTACTGGGAGGAATTGGAGAAATCAACGCCAAAAGGCAAAAGAATTTTTTGGTTGTAACGAAAGGTAAGCTCAGTTTCAATTCAAAGACGTTTCTAAATTAAATCAGTTAATTCTCTCTCAAAACTTTCCCAGTGATATTTACGGTACGTTTGAAACAGTTTCTCCCGGCGATTTTAAGACACGGGGCCTGAACAATCGATGAAAATCGATATTAATTTATCGATTGATATTTAAGCTTATAATCAACGAACAATCAATCACGAAAGTTTTTGTGATTATCGATTGTCATCAATTATCGATTATATAGGAAACGGATCAATTAGAAACATTGATTTTCATTGATTATTTATTTCATTGATTACCAATACAGTAGAAGCCCTTACTAAAATCGACAGAAATGTTCCACACTACCTGATAGTCGTACGTCTCATGTTGTCGAAAGTGGGAAAGTTGGAAAGTTCCCTGGCCAGGAATCACCCTGGAAGTTAAAAGCCCTCACTAACCTCACTAGCTTGGGATTGTAGTGGGTAATATTAGCCCTCCATTGTTCATGTACGGGCCTTACTTTGCTCAGTTCTTAACAACCTTGGGCCAATATTCCCAGTAATGCCAGTATGGCCTACATGTACGTGGTCAGCTTAGCAGGGTTGTCAAAAGTAGCCGGCTACCGGCAAAAATTGGCGCCTACTTGGTTAGTATCGGCTGGCTACTCAGCTTGGCGTTTCTTTATGGATGGCGTTTTTTGAATAAAATATACCTGGACTGGCCGCTTACTTTGACAACTCAGCTGTCTACTTCAAAACTTTCTGACAACCCTGGCTTAGTAGTGGTTAGTAAGGGGTTCTTTCAACTTATTTTGCAAACTCGACTCTTCCATCACTGAAAAAACCAACCTTAAATAGGCAATTTTTCTACTGTTTCTTTTTTCACTTTAATCTTCTTTTTGCTGTGTAGAACAAGAAATATTGGAAGTTTGACTTTCTTTGAAATACAGTAACATGTATTTAATAGTGTTAAAAAATCAATGTTAATATGAGAGGTAATTTTAAGAATTTCTTGATCTCTGGCATCACAGTTTGGTGTCATAAATCTTATTCCTGATTAAGATTGATGAAATAAAATAACATTGATGCATTTCATCTATTTTGCAGAAACCTCTGTCAGTGAAATTGAAGAAGCTTTCTTACAGTTTACAAATAGAAGTGACATTGCCATTCTGCTAATCAATCAAAATGTAAGGGTGCACACAGGATTTGTACAGCTATTTGGATACAGAATTTAAGAGTTTTTCCGGACTTTTTTTTCAAACAATTTATTATTTCTTTTTCCAGACACAAGGTTATCAAATAGGTGATCAACAGAAACCTTAAAAAATGCAGGAACAAAGCTGTTTTCATGATGGGCTGCAAACGTACTTGTATGGGCAAGATTGAGTAGGATTTGATCAAAACAGAAAAAATGTCTCTCATAAAGCACTTGTTGTAGCTTTGAAAAAAAAAAAAATTTTTTGTAGACGTTATATCCATTTTCTAGACTTTTTCCAGGTCTGGAAAATTGCTGGGCTAATTTCAAGACTTTTTTTCAAGAATTCAAGACTCTGTACAAACTCTGTACACGATGTAACATAGCTTTTTAGTAAATGGTATAACCATACTATACATTGTTACATCTAAATGTCTATTGTCCAAGTAGTTGTGCATCACTTTCCCTTGGGAAATCACATGAAGCTGTCTGGGAAATTTGGGATGGGAGGGGAGGGAAGGTGCAGGACAGTGCATTACTGGTCACAACATAACGCTAAAAATATTTCAGGTGTTCACAGTTTTCTGAGATTGAGAATATGATACCTTCCCAAAAACTTCTCCCACGGAAATGAAGCTTAGTAAATGCCCAGCAAAAGAAAAAAGGGGCAAGAAAAGCAAAAGCAGCATAAAGGAGAAACAGCAAAAGATAAAAGTCAAGAGGCCTGTGTCATTGTAAACCCAAAACCTATCTTGAAATAATTTTGCTTTCTGCGCATGCCTGAAACTGTGAAAGGTAATATTTAGCATGGCAAACAAAAGCCAGTGTGGTGCTAGACTTGTAACCATATTTTTGGGCTGTTTTGGTCCTTTTTGGCCAGGTAATGACTACATGTAGATAATTCTTGGTTAGCCTTAAAGTTCGTTTTTGTTTAAATTTCTAGGGCGGATGGGTTAAAGGCAATGTATAAAAAATATTTCTCACCCTTAATAAAATTATGGCTTTCATAGATACGTGCCTTTGAACTGAAATTTTCATTTCTAACCCTTTACACTCTTATGAAATGCATATGTTTTTAAAGCTAACTGTTAGTTTTTGAGAATTACATGTTTTCAAGTTGTACTGAAATGATGCTGTTGTTTCATTTTGTTCTTCATGATGTAAAATACCAATTCTGATCAGGTTGATCACAACATGAATTTGTGTTTTTTAGATCGCTGAGGAGATTCGACATATCCTTGATAGTTATGACAAAGCTATTCCAGCCATTTTAGAGATACCATCCAAGGAACATCCTTATGATCCTTCCAAGGATTCCATTCTTAGGAGGGCAAAGGTACTGTTTCTTTTTTTCATTTTATGTATGAAGAGCGTTATTTACAGTCTGCTACACAGCCCTTTTTAGTGTCGTCATGCAACACTCGTCCTCCGTACTAATCAATAGTGGCAGAAGAGTCTTTTGTTTTCTCATTACATGTATGTAATTCTTGATATTTGTGAGTTTAAAATACAATTTTAAAACTTGTTTATGTACATGTATGTGTGATAAACTCTTTTAATATTAGGCTGTGGGTTTTTGTTCCATCAGAAAGTAACGGTTCTGTTTTTTTCCCTCCTTTTTTAGGGTTTGTTCAGCGCAGAAGATTTCAAGTAGTACTAGACTCATTATCTTAAATTTTTTCAGATTAGGTTTGGCATGTGCAATTAATGGATGAAGGAAAACAATAATTTAAACTTATTTAAACACGTTTTTGCATAGGAAGTGACTAATACAATTCAAAAGAATTCTCAAATATCAAAAATAGTTTCATTAAGTGTTTTCTTGGGCAGTTCCCGTTACATTATGAGTTATTCAGAGAAATACTGTTGAGCACAGGGGCGGATCTAGGGGGAGGGTGCAGGGGGTGCGCACCCCCCCTGAGATGACCTGCGGTTTTCTAATACAACTGGTATTCTGCAAAAAAAAAAAAAAACTATGCGGTTTGTTGGTGTTGAAGTAGAGTAAGAGACGAGTGCACCCCCTCCTAAAAGAAATCCTGGATCTGCCCCTGGAGCAGCATAACAAATCATTATTGTGAATGATCATCTTGATGTACAAGAGTTGTTGGAAGCATGAATGTTGTTCAGAGTTCTATAGAGCGGTTTTCACTTGACTGTCGAAAGGGATTGGTTTTGGTTTTGGTTTTACTACGCCCTTTGGTTGGCTAGTGTATTGACTTTGGTTTTGGTTTTACGACAGTCAAGTGAAAACCGCTCTATGAGAGTTAACCCATGTACATTAAAGGAGCTACTTAACGTCATAAGGATACTGCTGTTTTAGGTCAATTCTGTGTGTTAAGTCGTTAAGTACTTACACTGTAGAACCTTTACTAATACAAACACTTCTCCTGTAGAGTTGTTAAGAAGATATTAAACAAATTTCATCAGGAATCACAAACCATAACTTTGAAGTTTAAATCCATGTACATCCATCCATTGCAACAGATGACAGGAAATAGTTTCAATGCCCACATATAGTCTTGAAATACAAAACTGGTCCGTTATTTTTGGAATTCACTTCAGGCAAAAAAAGTTTTAGTTTTTTTAAAAAACTAGCAAATAGCGTGATGTAGCCCCTCTAAATATATACATGTATGCCTGATTGAAAAAATGTTGTCGCTTAAAAATGTAAACCATGAATGATGAGGCTTCAGGGATTTATGCCATGGGTATACGTTAATTAGCAAATCAATTGCAGACTTCTTTCAACAAAAGTTTACACTGTCACAAGCTGTTGGTGCGGATGCAAATCACTAGAGTGCTTAAGGCATGCTGTTGTCTTTTTATGTCTTTAAGAAAGCTTTTATTTAGGTACTATCTTATGATTTTCAAGTGTGCATTAGCGATATGGCTATGTTCTTTAACTGCAGAGGTATCTGATGTGCCCTGCACAGGTGAAGTTGTGAGCTTATGGTAAAGAAGACTGGAAATTGTTTGACCTTTTTTTTGAATACATCAAGTCGCAAAAAACTTGAAATTTGCAATGTTAACGAAGTTCTAGCCATAAATCCATTAGGTCCCATTGTTCATGGTTTATACTTTTCAAGGGATGTTTTTTCTATCAGGTGTATACTTGTCACCCTGTCAGCAGAACCTTCTTCTTTCTTTTTGAGTGAGAAGGAAAAAGAAGAGGCTCTGCCTTAAAGTCGCAGTGACGAACTTCTGGACCAGTCAATCTTGTTTCTCTCATCAAACTGGTGATGAATTAGCCCGCTGTACCAAGTGCATGGCTGTTGGGTTTGGGTACAAAACTGTATTCAAGCTACTTGCAACTACAGTGGAACCCCGTTAATACGACCACCTTAGGGCCATGGAAATTTGGTCGTATTAACGGGGTAGGGTCAAATTATGGTGCAAAATGCTATCAAACTACATTCTACTACATCACAAGTCCTTTCCTTTCATAACAAGGAACTGAAAGAAGTCAGTGTTTTTTCTCATTACTCGGTTTCGTTTACTGTTACATTGTTCAGTTGCATTGAATTGCGGTTGTAAGGTTGTTAATTAACTGCAAAAAGGTTGATTTATATTTGTCTCGAAGAGCCGTTTTCTATATTGTAGCTTACAACACTTTCACAATTACAAAATTCAAAGTTCTGGGAGAAAAGATAAGGAAATGGACTTGAATAGAAAAGCCACAGTGGAAGGCAGCAGAAACAAGAAGGCAAAATAACTTTGAGAGCCTCGAAATGCTGCAAAGTGAAGTCTTTCAAATCTTTTGTATTATTTATTCATGCCTCCTTTTTACTGCACACAGCAATTTTGGCCTACAGTACGATTGGTGATTGTGGAAACGGGTTTTTGTAAGTTATTTTATAATCATTACCCAATAACAAACAGTCTAAGTCAGACAAAAGTAAGTCGTCGGGCACCAAGCATTTTGACTGGTCGTATAGACGGGGTAATTTTATAAAGAAAATAACGACTCAGGACTCCCAAAGGTGGTCGTTGGTCGTAATAACGGGGTGGTTGGATTAACGGGATTTTCACATAAGAAAATGAGTGGGCTTTTGTTCGGGCCACAAAAAAGTGGTCGCAATAACAGGGTGGTCGTATTAACGGGGTGGTCGTAAGGCGGGGTTCCACTGTAGTCTGCGAGCAAGCTCTCCGGGTGGGAAAAGGAAGGAGAGCTTCCGATGATGTCTCTCTGGAATTTGAATTCCACCTCCAATTCCACTGTGGCTTCCTGTTGACTGAGCTGTCAGATTTCCACCAATCAGCATGAAGCAGAAACGAGCATGAATGTAAACAAACATTGAAAAAACACATGCCAAGGGTAATGACGTCATTACTGTCATCTCTGCCAATCAGCATTTAGCATCAACTTTTTTGATGCAGATGCTCAAATTCCAGAGACGTAGTTAAAAGCTCTTCTTCATTTTCCCGCACCGCTGCCAGAGCGCTCTGGAGAGTTTGAATGCTACTTGCAATGCATGCTCAACAAAGATCTTAATTGATTCAAGCAGTCTTTCTACAGTTTGCCAAAATGAAGCAAGCTAGAGAAAAGTTCTGCTGGCATAATAAAAAAGTTTTGCTTGCAAAAAGTAAACAGAATACCTTGTTCAAAATTCCTTTGTTTATTTTATGTAAGTCAAATTGGAGCATCTAACAATGTGATAAACTTGCTATAAGAACAACATTAAAATTATGTAAAACAAATTTGATCAAAATTTGCTCTGAGAGGAAAGCATGTTGTACACAAAAGTACCATGCGGTAAGGTTGATGTGAATAAAAAGTGCCATAAAGCTGACATTTATAGGAAATAAATCAAATCTTCTAAATACCAAACCATTTCTTCAAATAAGTTAACATTGTGTTCTTTGAATGATCACAAGAATGACAAATAAGCATGTGATATATTGGGAACAACTTTGCTTGGTCAGCCTGTTTCATGCTTTTTGTAGGCTGCCAGCAGGCTCTCCTATTTGGGCGAGCGAGGCTCTGAGGTGCCGAGGAAAGGTTTCTCTCCCCTGCTGTCACATCTCTCGTTGTGCGTGTACTTTTCATGATATCCCCCAAATGGCGAGCTTGCTCGCAGGCTACGCTTTTTGATCTATAGAGAAGAAAACATTACTGGTTGATAACTTTTGTCTAGCAGGCTTGGAACTCTCTTTAAAAAGGTAGCATCTCCTGATGCGTTAAAAAGTATGTGGCGTGGATGCATGAGAAATGCTTGCAAGTACATTGAGAAAGTTGTAAAAAAAACTATGATTGGTCAAAGAAAACCCCAAGAGAGAAAACAGGCTTAGTGAAATTTTTACTTACAAATCATTACAACCATGGATTATGTTTGAACTCCTTGCATTATTGGTGTTGATTTTATGCTTCTGGCCTCAGCTGTTTAAAAGCTGGATAATGCTGTCCATTGGATAAGTCACTATCCACAGAATAACACAATTGGTTTCTCTCATACTTATCTGCTGGATAGTGATTTATCCTGTACATAGCACTATCTACAATGTAGCATTTGCACAACTGGGGTCTGGGATTTTTAGGATGATTATGGGAATGAAATACTTGTCAAGATAAAAACCAACATTTTAAAATAAGATTTAATTTCTTGTCCCCTTGATTAAACTTTTCGTAAAGATAAGTTGTCAATTTTTTGTTAAGTATGTATTAAGAAGTTGCAGAAAATGACTGAAATATTTTGTGTCTAAAACATCTTGTTTCTTAAACCTCAACACATTCATTTTGATAAGAATACTTGTATAATTAAGTGAATTATTATTGTTTCATTTTGAAAAATGCCATGCATTATGTACATTGCTTGCAACTACTGGTAAAATAATCATTACTATGCTTCTACGGATGACACCAAGTGATTTGATGAAATATCTCCTAGTTTCTTGTCACTTTGAGTGTCATTTGCTTTCTTACCATTCTGGATTTCAGGTTGTTCCTGGAAAAAAAAGTTGATTATTGCAACACACTGGTACTGAAGATCACATACCACAACTGTCAATGTTTTCCTTTGTTTCCTTACCCACTTCTCATTATCTTTCACCTTTCTAACCTATTAAACCTTTCTTACCTGTGTCAATCAACAACAATGTTTTTATCCCTAGCAAAATACTAAAGGCCATAAAAAAGGCATTACATGTACATGAATAACAGGCTTCCCATCAATGGAAACTGCATGGGTTGCCTGTGTCCTTTGCTTTTGAAGCTAATATATTTTTCTAAACTGCTTCTGTTTGGCTTCAATATTTTATTTTGGTGGTAAAAGTAAAATACGTAATCTGAGGTTTCACCTCTCCTGGGTGCTATAGGAAAATTAATGATTAAAACAAACCTCTTCATCTTCACTGATCACTGCTTCTGGAATGGTTCTATTTAATGTCAACACATTTGTCAGCCTTGAATTGTCTGATATTCTGCAAGTCACAAAAATAATAAATATCATATTTCATTATGGTCAATGATGTTACCTAAACGTAACATCAGGAATTTTTTTAACTATTGCCACTTGTACATACCAGGTGAGTGAAAACTTTCAAAACATGAAACTTACAGTCTATGAAATTTCTGCAGATTTTCCTGACTCCACACAGGTACAGTCTCCTTCTTAATGTCTTCTGCCACCTACAAGGATCACATACAAATTAAATCATAATTATTAGCACATTTGTACATGTGTAATGTAATTAAACAGTGTTTTCATCTGTTTTTAAACACTCTGACCTCATACTTGTATCCAAAGTCCGTCCAGTTGTATACCAACACACACGAGCCAATATGTCTGCCAGAATAAATATTCTTCAATAAATACAATAATTGTTGTAACAATTAAATTTAATAAATATGTCTAAAACTACAGAGAATTAATTTTTAAAAACACTTTTAGTTCTTGAGGAAGGGGGGTAATTAATTGAGAACATACAGAGCTGCACCATTAAAGTGCCCAGTTGCCCTTGATAGACAACATATTAGTTTCTGCACACAACATGGATGAGGGGCATCTTTGATTTCATACATGTACTGTCATAGCTTTGGCACCTGCTTCTTTAGTCCTGTTTACTTTCAAGATCAAAGTTTTGACAGTTTAAAAGATAATTAATCTAATGATACATGTACAATCAGATAAGAAAAATCAGTGGACTAATTTGACAGCAACTACATGTAGCACCAACACTTTGACGATCTGTCTGCAGATTTTTGATTTCAATATTTGGCTTTGGGCCTGAAAAGGTAGCAACTTTTAGAAAGGAATCCAAGCGAATGCAATAAATATTTAATTTAATTTGATGATGGTCAGGTTTGTAGAATTATGAATAGCATTCTCAGCAAATTAATTCATTTCCCCTATCCCCCCTAGAGTCCGAGATTATGGTGACAGACTTCATTTGAAGAGACTAAATAATATTGTTCTCCTAGTCACCACCTGGTCAAAAAATAATAAAATGCCCAGAGATATCTATACTAACAGACAACTAATAACACACTGTTTGTTTGGCATGAACAGAGTTTTATTTCACAGCAGTGCGTAAAAACTGAACAAAAACCCATAAGGGTAGGAGGGATGGGTACATGTAAAAGAAAATTGTATGAACTAACCGCAGAACACGTTGAACAAAATTAAGTAGAAAATAAAGTACAATACGCCCTTTAAGTGCACTATTTAGTAACTACATGTATGAATCACATGCTGAACATGCATTATGCAATGCTGACGAGTGGGGAATAAAAAAACCCATGATGAGAGGAGTTAATAATTTTGAAGCATCCTCCAAAATAAACAAATGAATTACTAATCAAATACAAGCATTTAGTTCTCTTTGGGCCTTACCTCATTTCATCTAAAAATGTTTTGTAACATGAATCAAGGCCCTTGAGATAATCCAGTGGAATAGCACTTTCATAATCCTAAAGGAAAGAGTATAAGTTTTAGGTACTTTGTAAGAGGACAATCAAAAAAAAAAAAAAGTAATTCTTGATATTTGTGAGTTTAAAATACAATTTTAAAACTTGTTTATGTACATGTATGTGTGATAAACTCTTTTAATATTAGGCTGTGGGTTTTTGTTCCATCAGAAAGTAACGGTTCTGTTTTTTTCCCCCCTTTTTTAGGGTTTGTTCAGCGCAGAAGATTTCAAGTAGTACTAGACTGATTATCTTAAATTTTGTCAGATTAGGTTAGGAATGTGCAATTAATGGATGAAGGAAAACAATAATTTAAACTTATTTAATGACACGTTCTTGCACAGGAAGTGACTAATACAATTCAAAAGAATTCTCAAATTATATCAAAAATAGTTTCATTAAGTGTTTTCTTGGGCACTTCCTGCTACATTATGAGTTATTCAGAGAAATACTTTTGAGCAGCATAATAAATAATTATTGCGAATGATCATCTTGATGGCACAAGAGTTGTTGCACATGAGTTGTTGGAAGCATGAATGTTGTTCAGAGTTCAATTTAAGAGTTAACCCAGGTACATTAAAGGAGCTACTTAACGTCATAAGGATACTGCTGTTTTAGGTCAATTCTGTGTGTTAAGTCATTAAGTACTTACACTGTAGAACCTTTACTAATACAAACACTTCTCCTGTAGAGTTGAGAAGAAGATATTAAACAAATTTGATTAGGAAGCACTAATCATAACTTCCAACTTTTTGAAGTTTCAATCCATGTACATCCATCCATTGCAACAGATGACAGGAGATAGTTTCAATGCCCACATAATTTATAGTCTTGAAACACAAAACTGGTCCTTTACTTTTGGAATTCAATTCAGGCAAAAAAAGTTTTAGTTTTTTAAAAAACTAGCAAATAGCGTGATGTAGCCCCTCTAAATATATACATGTATACCTGATTGAAAAAATGTTGTCGCTTAAAAATATAAACCATGAATGATGAGGCTTCAGGGATTTATGCCATGGGTATACGTTCATTAGCAAATCAAATGCAGACTTCTTTCAACAAAAGTTTACATTGTCACAAGCTGTTGGTGCGGATGCAAATCACTAGAGTGCTTAAGGCATGCCGTTGTCTTTTTATGTCTTTTAAGAAAGCTTTTATTTAGGTACTATCTTATGATTTTCAAGTGTGCATTAGCGATATAGCTATGTTCTTTAACTGTAGAGGTATCTGATGTGCCCTGCACAGGTGAAGCTGTGAGCTTATCGTGAAGAAGACTGGAAACTGTTTCACCTTTTTTGGAATACATCAAGTCGCAAAAAACTTTAAATTTGCAATGTTAATAAAGTTCTAGCCATAAATCCATTAGGTCCCATCCTTCATGGTTTATACTTTTCAAGCGACAACGTTTTTTCTATCAGGTGTATACTTGTCACCCTGCGAGCAGAACCTTCTTCTTTCTTTTTGAGTGAGAAGGAAAAAGAAGAGGCTCTGCCTTAAAGTCGCAGTCACGAACTTCTGGACCAGTCAATCTTGTTTTTCTCATCAAACTTGTGATGAATTATCCTGCTGTACCAAGTGCATGGCAGTTAGGTTTGGGTACAAAACTGTATTCAAGCTACTTGCAACTAGTCTGCGAGCAAGCTCTCCGGGTGGGAAAAGGAAAGAGAGCTTCCAACTATGTCCCTCTGGAATTTGAATTCACCTCCAATTCCCCTGTGGCTCCCTGTTGACTGAGCTGTCAGATTTCTGCCAATCAACATGAAGCAGAAAGGAGCATGAATGTAAACAAACATTGAAAAACACGTGCCAAGGGTAATGACATCATTACTAATGTCATCTCTGCCAATCAGCATTTTGCATCAACTTTTTTGATGCAGATGCTCAAATTCCAGAGACGTAGTTAAAAGCTCTTCTTCCTTTTCCCGCCCCGCTGCCAGACCGCCCTGGAGAGCTTGTCACAGGCTTCTTGCAATGCATGCTCAACAAAGATCTTAATTGATTCAAGCAGTCTTTCTAGAGTTTGCCAAAATGAAGCAAGCTAGAGAAAAGCTCTGCCGGCATAATAAAAAAGTTTTGCTTGCAAAAAAGTAAACAGAATACCTTGTTCAAAATTCCTTTGTTTATTTTATGTAATTCAAATTGGAGCATCTAATAATGTGATAAACTTGCTATAAGAACAACAGTAAAATTATGTAAAACAAATTTGATCAAAATTTGCTCTGAGGAGAAAGCATGTTGTACACAAAAGCACCATGCGGTAAAGTTGATGTGAATAAAAAGTGCCATAAAGCTGACATTTATAGGAAATAAATCAAATCTTTTAAATACCAAACCATTTCTTCAAATAAATTAAGATTGTGTTCTTGGAATGTTTATGAAAACAACAAATAAGCATGTGATCTATTGGGAACAACTTTGGTTGTCAGCCTGTTTTATGCTTTTTGTAGGCTGCGAGCAAACTCTCCTTTCTCTCCCCTGCTGTCACGTATCCCCTCGTGCGTGTACTTTTCACGATATCCCCCAAATGGCGAGCTTGCTTGCAGGCTATGCTTTTTGATCCATAGAGAAGAAAACATTGCTGGTTCATTACTTTTGTCTAGCAGGCTTGGAATTCACTTTCAAAGGGTAACATCTCCTGATGTGTTAAAAAGCGTGTGGTGTGGATGTATGAGAAATGCTTGCATATACCGGTACATTCAGAAAGTTGTGAAAAAACTATGATTGGTCAAAGCAAACCCCAAGAGAGAAAACAAGCTAAGTGAAATTTTTCCTTAGAAATCATTACAACCATGGATTATGTTCGAACTCCTTGCATTATTGGTGTTGATTTTATGCTTCTGGCCTCAGCTGTTCAAAAGCTGGATAATGCTGTCCATTGGATAAGTCACTATTCACAGAATAACACAATTGGTTTCTCTCATACCTTATCTGCTGGATAGTGATTTGTCCTGTAGATAGCACTATCTAGCATTTGCGCAACAGGGGCTGGGATTTTTAGGACGATTATAGGAATGAAATACTTGCCAAGATAAAACCAACATTTTGAAAGAAGATTTAACTTCTTGTCCCCTTGATTAAGATAAGATAAGCTGTCAATTTTTTGTTAAGTATGTATTAAGGAGTTGCAGAAAATGACTGAAATATTTTGTGTCCAAAACATCTTGTTTCTTAAACCTCAACACATTCATTTTGGTAAGAATACTTGTACAATTAAGTGAATTATTATTGTTTTGTTTTGAAAAAATGCCATGCATTATGTACATTGCTTGCAACTACTGGTTAAATAATCATTACTATGCTTCTACGGATGACACCAAGTGATTTGATGAAATATCTCCTAGTTTCTTGTTACTTTGAGTGTCATTTGCCTTCTTATCATTCAGGATCTCAGGTTGTTCCTGGAAAAAAAAGTTGATCATTGTAACACACTGGAACTGAACATTACATACCATTACTGTCAATCTTTTCCTTTCTTTCCTTACCCACTTCTCATTATCTTTCACCTTTCTAACCTATGAAACCTTTCTTACCCGTGTCAATCAACAACAATGTTTTTATCCCTAGCAAAATACTGAAGGCCATAAAAAAGGCATTACATGTACATGAATAACAGGCTTCCCATCAATGGAAACTGCATGGGTTGCCTGTGTCCTTTACTTTTGAAGCCAATATATTTTTCTAAACTGCTTCAGTTTGGCTTCAATATTTCATTTTGCTGGTAAAAGAAAAATATGTACATGTAATCTGAGATTTCACCTCTCCTAGGCCTGGGTGCTATAGGAAAACTAATGATTAAAACAAACCTCTTCATCTTCACTGATCACTGCTTCTGGAATGGTTCTATTTAATGTCAACACATTTCTCAGCCTTGAATTGTCTGATACTCTGCAAGTAACAAATATGTCATTATGGTCAATGATGTGACCTAAACGTAACAGGAATTTTTTTAACTATTGCCACTTGTACATACCAGGTGAGTGAAAACTTTCAAAACATGAAACTTACAGTCTATGAAATTTCTGCACATTTTCCTGACTCCACACAGGTACAGCCTCCTTCTTAATGTCTTCTGCCACCTACAAGGATCACATACAAATTAAATCCTAATTATTAGCACATTTGTACATGTGTAATGTAATTAACCCTTTAAGCCCCAATATCCACATACAAATTCTCCAAACTGATCTCCATACATCTCCTTTAAGAATTAGTTGACAGAATTTGATAAAAGATCATGGAATTTTCTCTATGATGATCATTTTATTAATTCTCATAACTTTATCTTTTGACAGTGAATGGATATTGTTAGGAGAAAATTGTTGTTGGTCACTATTGGCACTTAAAGGGTTAAACTGTGATTTCATCTGTTTTTAAACACTCTGACCTCATACTTGTATCCAAAGTCCGTCCAGTTGTATACCAACACACTTGAACCAATATGTCTGCCAGAAGAAATATTCTTCAATAAATACAATAATTTTTGTAACAAATAAATTTAATAAATATGTCTAAAACTACAGAGAATTAATTTTTAAAAACACTTTTATTTCTTGAGGAAGGGGGGTAATTAATTGAGAACATACAGAGCTGCACTGTTAAAGTGCCCAGTTGCCCTTGATAGACAACATATTAGTTTCTACACACAACATTGATGCGGGGCATCTTGGATTTCATACATGTACTGTCATAGCTTTGGGACCTGCTTCTTTAAAGTCCTGGGAATTACCGGGCCCAGAAAGCTGTTTTATGTTTGCTTTGTTTACTTTCAAGATCAAAGTTTTGACAGTTTAAAAGAATTAATTTAATGATACATGTACAATCAGTTAAGAAAAATCAATGGACTAATTTGATAGCAACTACACGTACATGTAGCACCAAAACTTTGACTCTGTACTGTAGATTTTGGATTTGGGCCTGAAAAGGTAGCAACTTTTAGAAAGGGATCCAAGCAAAAGCAATAAATATTTAATTTAATTTGACGATGGTCAGATTCGTAAAATTACCGTATTTATTCGACTATAAGCCGATCTCGGCTATAAGCTGAGACCCCAAACTTTGAACGTGTAGACTCGGCATAACGAGAACCAAAAATAAATCGAAAACACCTGGCTATAAGCCAAGACCCATTCATTATTACAAGACTGAATTGTTAACTACAGGAAAACCTAACATTTTCGGAAAAAAATCACATTGATTGTCATAAATGAGGCTCAGACGATAACACACATGTATTGTTAGCAAATTAACCAATTCCCCTATCCCCCCTAGAGTCCGAGATTATGGTGAGAGACTTCATTTGAAGCGAGTAAATTGTTCTCCTAGTCACCATCTGGTCAAAAAATAATAAAATGCCCAGAGATATCTATACTAACAGACAAGTAATAACACACTGTTTGTTTAGCATGAACATAGTTTTATTTCACAGTCAGTGCATAAAAACTGAACAAAAACCCATAAGGGTAGGAGGGATGGGTACATGTAAAAGAAAATTGAACCAACTAACCACAGAACACGTTGAACAAAATTAAGTAGAAAATAAAGTACAATACGCCCTTTAAGTGTACTATTTAGTAACTACATGTATGAATCACATGCTGAACATGCATTGTGCAATGCTGACAAGTGGGGAATAACAAAACCTAAGATGAGAAGAGTTAATAATTTTGAAGCATCCTCCAAAATAAACAAATGAATTACTAATCAAATACAAGCATTTAGTTCTCTTTAGGCCTTACCTCATTTCATCTAAAAATGTTTTGTAACATGAATCAAGCCCCTTGAGATAATCCAGTGGAATTGCACTTTCATAATCCTGAAGGAAAAAGTATAAGTTTTAGGTACTTTGTAAGAGGACAATAAAAATAAAAATAAGTATAAAAAAATAAAACACACAAGCTAATGATTTTGCAAAGGGGTGTCACTGTTAAATTTTCACCAACCCCTAGACAACTTTCTGCAAAATGGCATCTTACTTTTCTTTTCCTTTTTTTTTGATAGTCTTAAACTTTTTACATAAACCTCATTGAGAGTAGACTTTTACAGTATTTATATAGACTTTTACAGGATTTAATGTATTCCAACATTATTATTGATTCAACATAGAAGACTTTTTTTCATTGAGAGTAGACTTTTACAGGATTTACATAGACTTTTACAGGATTTAATGCATGACAACATTATTATTGATTCAACACAGAAGACTTTTTGGAACTAAATTAATGTCTTTTTTGAATCAGGAAATCATTCTTTGGTTTTTCACTACCTACGTCGACAACAACTTTGTTTTCTCCAGACTTTTCCCTCAGTGATTCTTACTGCGTTAACGTAAAGACGACACACCTACATTGTATGTTTTGGATAAATTAATGTTCAACTGATCTGGGCACAAAATGTAGTTCCATTACTTTGTAATTTCAAAGGCTACTGAATTCAGAAATGAAATAACTCATACCCTTCCTCGCCCAAGAATACGCTGACTGCAAGTCTCTGGTGAAACATTAAGATACAAGGTAGTGTGCGGAACCAAGACATCCTTCAAAGCTTGTTTCCGTAGGTCTCTATAATACTGGTAACCTGAAATAATTCAAGATGTATTCCATGAAAATCAATGGAAAAAAAGAATATGTTCTTCAGTTGTGTAACAAGAGAGTTTGGTATTGTTGCTTTCTAAGGGGTGTTGAATAAAAAAATAAATAAAACTATGATAAATTTACAACAAGCCAGTCCTTGAAAATAATTCACTTTAAAGTTATGGAAAGCCTTAAATTCAAGGAAACGTTTGATGAATTTCTACTCAAATAAATATTACAATGCCTTTTCTCAAGTAAACAATTTGACCCTTCCCTGTCTACATGTACTATAGTCAAAGGACAAGTAGTATTGCTTTCTGCTAAACTTCTCACATGCATTCACTGAAAATAATTTGTGCTGTTTTTCTTACACAAACTTTACTCAATATAAGGCCAAAAATGGTGCTTTAATTTCACCTTTCCGAGCTAATGCAAAAACAATGCCAAAAACAGTAATGAGATGGCAACCTTTAGGTAAACTAATATATTAATAGATTTAGCCAAGGCCAAAGGCAAAGCCCTTGCGGGATCTTTTACCTTGTAAGAAAATGTATTTTTAAAGTTATTTAACTTTTTTACCATAAGCAAAGTCTTTATTGATAATTATGGATGCATAGATAACCAAATTTTATTACCCATGGTGCTCCACTGCATGCATGAGAGCTCTGCTAAAAACATCATTTTTTGTATACCAAGTATGCTTGTTCATTAAACAAAAAAAACCAACAACAATTAAAGGAAGAAAAAAACAATAAAAAATCTGTACCTTCATCAGAGATAGTTCCTTGCTGGTAGTTAACTTCAGCAAAAACTGAATCACTGAAAACTGATCTGTCTAAGAGAGCTCCTTGACCTTAAAGGAATTTGTGATAAATTATAAAATTTCAGTCCAAACATCAACAGTTTTGACCCTAGCTTCAACAAAAATGTGTTAAAAGTACAGCTGTAAAGCCCCGTGCAAATGGACGCAACATTGTTGGCCAACAACTCCTAACATTTGTTGTGTCTGTTTGCACATACTGTAGCTAAAAGTTAGACCAGTTTCAAACTTTGTGCAAAAACTTTCAACAACATGTAACATCATACAATGTTGTGTCTGGGACATAAGGTCAGCTAGTTTTGTATTTTGTGAAAAGAATAGAAAATAGGACATGGAAGTGAGACTGTTGTGGAGTGTCTAACTATGATTGATTGGATATGACCAATTGTTTTGGTTGGTGATTGTCTGATGACTGTTATTTGCAGCCTTGTTCATCCAATCAAAGTGTATCATTGAGTTGGCTTTCATTTGTACACATACACCATGTACAGTCTGTGCAATAATGCTGACCCACAAAATGACCCACATTGCTACTTGGAAAAGTTTTGTCCTTCACAAAAGTCTCAAAAGCACCCCTATGTCCAAAATTGGGTCAATACCCTTCCCCTTTGCACTAGGTATCCCTTGTGCTGCAGTTTAGTGCATAATGAGGTTTACCTGTATCTCCTTCTATGTGGGCCAGGGGGGAGGGGTACTTTAGGAAGGTTTGAGTGGAGATGTGCCGCTGGAACCCTGGAATCCTTAATTGATACCAGAGCTAGTTCAGCTGAATTTTGATCCCCTAAACTAGACTAAACTCCCCCAACCTCGCCCCCTCCCCCCAAATCTCAGAGTAGCCTTCAGGATCATTTGCGTAAATTTAAACTTGATGATTTGATTTTTTATATTTTTAAGTGGCAATTCCCGGCTTCCCTAGTCTGGGCTAAAATCTTCAACCAATTGATCAGTTTCCTGGAAAAAATAATGAAAATAATGATACCCTATCCTTAAGCTAGACGCAAACTTTCTGATTTATATACCTTATACCAGAGTAAACTGCTTGAAAACCATACCCTTCACAGCGGCACATACCTAATATATAGCCCATGTATGGCAGTACCCACCCGTGCATGTAGGGAGTAGCTTTGCAGAAGGACACCACAGCCAAGCTTCGACTTCGACATAAAAGCGAAAATGAAGCTCAAATAACATTAATTTGACTATTGTCTTGTTACATTTTACATACCAGAATTTAGAACGTGTTTAGTTGCTTCAATATATGTTCTGAATCTCTGTTTGAAGATCCACAATTGTAGTTTCAGAGCGTACTTTTTCGGATCTTGATAAAACTTAGCTAGGTAAGGATTTTTTGTCGTGGGTTCCAGGAAAACACGATAGTTCAACTTTCTGGCCAGTTGGCAAGCTAGAGTGGATTTTCCAACACCTATGTTTCCTTCTACGATCACCAGTTGTGCCGGCAAAGATGCGCTCTGCACTGACGACTTCAGGCCGATCATTGCTGAATTAAAATTTGTTGTTGAAAGGATAATTGTTGAACGATGATTTCTGTTGAGAAAACCAAACCAGCGCCATGGTATTACTCTGAACATTTGACACATTCACAGTTTCCTGCTCCCAAAAAACGTTTCTAGAATAAAAGCTCGAGTTCCACTATACAATTGATTTTCGACACAAAAAGTGTGATCGGGACGTATTCTACAAGATATTTCAAAACAACAAGGTGACTTCGACATAATTTAGCTTAATCCACCGTCACTTTCAAAGACGGTTTCATTTGCTTGTTTCTTCTCACATCGGGCGAAGATTAGACAAAAACGTTGGTTATTTGCCGCAAGAGACTGGTCAAAAGAACAAATTTTCAAAACTCACCTTCTTACTGGCGCGCTTCTTGTTCGAAATTTCTTGCCGCCAAAATTTCAACTCCCGCGAGACTTTGCAAGCTACACACCTCACTCGCAAAGCATGATGATTGGATAGAGCGGTTTTTCATTTCACACAACAGTGAGAGAGTGCGGCGGGAAACTTTACCTACATTGTATGTTTTGGATAAATTAATTTTCAACTGATCTGGGCACAAAATGTAGTTCCATTACTTTGTAATTTCAAAGGCTGCTGAATTCAGAAATGAAATAACTCATACCCTTCCTCGTCCAAGAACACGCTGACTGCAAGTTTCTGGTGAAACATCAAGATACAAGGTAGTGTGTGGAACCAAGACATCCTTCAAAGCTTGTTTCCGTAGGGCTCTATAATACTGGTAACCTAAAATAATTCAAGATGTATTCCGTAAAAGTCAATGGAAAAAAAAATATGTTCTTCAATTGTGTAACAAGAAGAGTTTGGTATTGTTGCTTTCTCAGCGTGAAAAGAAAGTACTGTCCGATAGCCTGGGGCCAGTGGATTTTGCTATCGGGTGAATTCTGCTATTAACTTGCCTGATGGGCAAGTGAAGAGTTTTAAAGAATTCAAATTACAGAAGAACTGTGAAATCCATCTACTCATCAAAACGTTTTTGGGGCTAGTTGAAATGATATTTGGGCTAGTAAATGTTAGCTTCAGCTTGCCCGAATGGCAAGGTGTAAAAATGACTTTCTTTGCACCCTGTTTCTAAAGGGTGTTGAATAAAAAATACATAAAACTATGATAAATTTACAACAAGCCAGTCTTTGAAAATAATTCACATCTAAGTTATGGAAAACCTTAAATTCAAGGAAATGTTTGATGAATTTCCACTCAAAATAAATATTACAATGCCTTTTCTCAAGTAAACAATTTGACCCTTCCTTGTCTACATGTACTATAGTCAAAGGACAAGTAGTATTGCTTTCTGCTAAACTACTCACATGCATTCACTCAAAATAATTTGTGCTGTTTTTCTTACACAAACTTTACTCAATATAAGGCCAAAAATGGTGCTTTAATTTCACCTTTCGGAGCTACAGAAGCAATGGCAAAAACAGTTATGAGATGGCAACCTCTAGGTAAACTAATATAATAATAGATTTAGTCAAGGTCAAAGGCAAAGCTCTTGTGGGATCTTTTACCTTGTAAGAAATGTATTTTTCAAGTCATTTAACTTTTTTACCATAAGCAAAGTAACTATTGATAATTGTGGATGCATAGATAACCAAATTTTATTGCCCATGGTGCTCCACTGCATGCATGACAGCTCCGCTAAAAACATCATTTTTTGTATACCAAGTATGCTTGTTCATTAAACAAAAAAAAAACCAACAACAAAGAAAGAAAAAAACAATAAAAAATCTGTACCTTCATCAGAGATAGTTCCTTGCTGGTAGTTAACTTCAGCAAAAACTGAATCACTGAAAACTGATCTGTCTAAGAGAGCTCCTTGACCTTAAAGGAATATTTGATAAATTATTAAATTTCAGTCCAAACATTATCAGTCTTGACCCTAGCTTCAACAAAAACGTGTTAAAAGTACGGCTGTAAAGCCCCATGCAAATGGGTGCAACATTGTTGGCCAACAACTCCTAACATTTGTTGCGTCTGTTTGCACATACTGTAGCTAAAAGTTAGACCAGTTTCAAACTTTGTGCAAAAACTTTCAACAACGTGTAACATCATACAATGTTGTGTCTGGGACATAAGGTCAGCTAGTTTTGTATTTTTTTGTGAAAAGAACAGAAAATAGGACATGGAAATGAGACTATTGTGGAGTGTCTATGATTGAGTGAGACTTGATTGGATATGGCCAATTGTTTTGGTTGGTGATTGTCTGATGACTGTTATTTGCAGCCTTGTTCATCCAATCAAAGCGTATCATTGAGTTGGCTTTAATTTGTACACATACACCATGTACAGTCTGTACAAAAATGCGGACCTACAAAATGACCCACATTGCTACTTGGGAAAGTTTTGTCCTTCACAAAAGTCTCAAAATCGCCCCTATGTCCCAAATTGGGTCAATACCCCTCCCCTTTGCACTAGGTATCCCTTGTGCTGCAGTTTAGTTGTGGGCCAGGGGGGAGGGGTACTTTAGGAATGTTGGGTGGGGATGTGCCGCTGGAATCCTGGAATCCTTAATCTATAACAGAGCTAGTTCAGCTGAATTTTGATCCCCTATACTAGCCTAGACTCCCCCAACCTCCCGCCCCCCCAACAAATCCTAGAGTAGCTTTTAGGCTGAGTTGCGTAAATTTAAACTTGATGATTTGATTTTTTATATTTTTGAGTGGCAATTCCCGGCTTCCCCAGTCTAGACTAAAATCTTCAACCAATCAATTTCCTGGAAAAATAATGATACCCTATTCTTAACCTAGACCCAAACTTTCTGATTTATATGCCCTATCCCAGAGTAAACTTCTTGCAAACCATACCCTTCACAGCGGCACATACCTAATATATAGCCCATATAATTATGACAGTACCCACCCCCGTGCATGTAGGGGGTCGCTTTGGAGAAGGGTACCACGGCCAAGCTTCGATTTCACCATAAAAGCGAAAATGAAGCTCAAATAACACTAATTTGACTATTTTCTTACTTAATTTCACTTACCAGAATTTAGAACGTGTTTAGTTGCTTCAATATATGTTCTGAATCTCTGCTTGAAGATCCACAATTGTAGTTTCAGAGCGTACTTTTTCGGATCTTGATAAAACTTAGCTAGGTAAGGATTTTTAGTCGTGGGTTCCAGGAAAACACGATAGTTCAACTTTCTGGCCAGCTGGCAAGCTAGAGTGGATTTTCCAACACCTATGTTTCCTTCTACGATCACCAGTTGTGCCGGCAAAGATGCGCTCTGCACTGTCGACTTCAGGCCGATCATTGCTGAATGAAAATTTGTTGTTGAAAGGATAATTTTTGAACGATGATTTCTGTTGAGAAAACCAAACCAGCGCCATGGTATTACTCTGAACATTTGACACATTCACAGTTTCCTGCTCCCCAAAAACGTCTCTAGAATAAAAGCTCGAGTTCCACTATTCAATTGATTTTCGACACAAAAAGTGTGATCGGGACGTATTCTACAAGATATTTCAAAACAACAAGGTGACTTCGACATAATTTAGATTAATCTACCGTCACTTTCAAAGACGGTTTCATTTGCTTGTTTCTTCTCACATCGGGCGACGATAAGACGTAAACGTTAGTTATTTGCCGCAAGAGACTGGTCAAAAGAACAAATTTTCAAAACTCACCTTCTTACTGGCGCGCTTCTTGTTCGAAAATTCTTGCCGCCAAAATTTCAACTCCCGCGAGACTTTGCAAGCTACACACCTCACTCGCAAAGCATGATGATTGGATAGAGCGGTTTTTCATTTCACACAACAGTGAGAGAGTGCGGCGGGAAACTTCTGTGCAGTTCTTGAAGAGGTTTTACAGCAAAATACTGCAAATATCTGCCATGGTAAGCCCCAAAATACGATTCATATCAGCAAGAGTGAATGCTACTACATTTTCGTGTAACGGTTTTGGGTTAAAAATGAACGCCGAGGCAAGAGTTGACCAAAACGTGGTTTGTTATTCATAGCTCCACCTTCGCAATTCGAAATGCTTCCACAAGAAACCAACGATTTTTTTTAATGAAATTATGAATGACGATAATATCTTAGTAGAATATCGTCAGTATTCAAGGAGTTTTCATGCTTTTTGGCTCGTTTTGGCGTTTTGAGGCTTCGGGCTAGTCCGAACTCGAATAAGCGTCCCGAAACGAGGGGCGTGCGGGGCCTTCGATAAGCTAATTGATGCAGCTATATATATAGGCAAATCTTACTTTTTATCTACAGGTAAGGTAAAACCTGAGCTCTGTCGCTACAACAGTTGCGACTTCGTAACAGTGTGAATGCTTCACTAGGTTCCGACTGATGTGCAAACTTAGTTTGGAGACAACATAATAATGGCTAGGTGGATATTCCAAAATTGTTTTTCCTGGCAGAGTTGTGCAGCAGTACGGGACAAAGGTGACCCGTGGCCCGTGGAGCTGGTATGCACGCAACATTTGCATGGATGAAATGTGAAAATGGGGTTGTTTGGCATGCACAAAAAAACTTCCATCAGTATTACTTTTTTTTGGTCTGGGAGCTTGAAATGATTATTGTCGCTATTTTGATTGCCATGAAGTACATTGTAAATGGCGTGTTACAGAAGCATATGGTCTTTCTTCTTTTTTACCAACAAAGCACTTATGGGCATAGCGTATCTGGTGTAACATGCTGTTGCATTTTTTTCATATTTAGAGTGTCTTCAACAGCTTCATGGAGGATGTGTATTTGCATCAGTATGTAAAGATTGCCTTGGTAAGTCTCTTTTTGGTTTCCAGATAATTTACTGTACTATGATAAACCTCCAATAAATAGGCATACCTTGGAACCAGAAAGGCTTGCTGACTTGTACTTTAAACAAGCTAACTTTACCTGGGAAACTTATTTCAGGCTCAAAAAGTAAACATTGTATTTATTAAATAGCATGATAAACGAGACGTTGCTTTTCTTGTGCCTAATGTTTCACCATGTAGTGAAAAGTCTGGGGAAGAGAAGTTGAAATCATGAACCCTCATATTTCTGATGTTTACACAACTAACTTTGGTGGTGTTGACTGAGCAGATCGACTTTGCTTGTACTTATTCTTATGTGGTACAAGTACCTGTTTTGGCTTTGTTTTAATTTGACTGCCTGTAACACATATATTTTGGAACCTGAAAGCCGTGTGAAATGTCCACAAGATATTTTCTGCCTTGAGTTGGGAAAGGGAATCATCAGCAATTTCAACTCCTGGAAACCTCCCAAGCGATATTTCTCTGCATGTCTCTTGGGACCCATTAACCAACATTTCCACCAAAATCAATGGTCATCAGAGGCAATGCATAATCGTTAACTCCAAAGCTAAAAAAGAAATCAGAGAAATTTTATGAAACGACACCCAGAAATATCAATGCACTCACCTTAGAACTTTGGTCTCGGGAGAACTTTATCTCACAAGATCAGTGATTGAGTCCTTTTGTGCTCATATCCTTGAGACAATGACAGAACGGTCATGGATCACTGCTAGGGAGGCCACATGATGGAAAGGTTCAAACAATCTTTTGTTATCATAGTCACCATGATCTTAACTTGCACCATGACAAAGGACAGGACTACTCTATGTCAATTTTGTTTGACCATTAAAATGAAACTGATGGTTTAGGTGATGTTTTACCGCTTTCTTTGCGTTAAATATCGAAAAGTTCAACTTTGGAATTTGTTCTACTTTTGCATGCTCACATGCTGTATAAGTCAAAGAATTCCTCAATTTCTTGATCTACATCTTCTAGTAATTCTTTCTTTTGCCATCTCTTCCATCTTTGCTGAATTTGAGTGAATTTTTCCACAGAAAAGCTGGCAAAGAATTTGTTCTTCTTCATCGGAAGAATGAAAAGCATGGTAAAAACTAAGATGATTCTTCTAAAATTCGCCAAAAATCAAATCATGAAATCAGAAAGCTGACCTTGGTCTCAAATGAAAACTCAATTTATGCATGTCCCATTTCTGCATGTTTGAGTACTCAGGGGAATTTAGTTTCTAAGCTGTGGCCAATTAAAGTGAGCCATTTATGGAAGTGCACATTTGGGTGCACTGGATTTTCAGGGTGGTTTTACTTCTGGGTGCATGAGGGCGCACCAGATGTTAATGGGACAAAATGTGTTTAGAAATTGAAAAGGAGTATCTGCAACTTTGGTCAACGAGATACTGTATCAACAATATTGGTAAAAATTCAACTGAGCGTATGATCACTAAATAGTTTAATTTACATGTAAATTTGTTCTACCACCTCACCTAATTTATAGAACAAAACATCAGCCACATCAAAATTGCTGTAAATAACAGAAAGTGTTACTGGAGAAGGGATATACATGGGTCTTGAATGTTCCATGTAACTTTCAAGAAATTTGTTGGTGTTGATGAATATTTCTCTGTAATATGTCCCAACAGCTGAATCTTTATTCCTCTTTATTCTGCACAGTGTAACCGTAATTTACGATGATGTCAAGGGGGCAGCAAATTTATATTGTTAAAGGAACATTGTTGCAAAGGAACTCCCGATTTAACGATTTGGCAGCATAACAACATAAATTAATGATGCATGAACATTTGGATATGGTTAATATATATTATTAAAAACTGAATCATTGGATAATGCAATTCTAGCATTTTGATTGACTTAGCCCTTATGGTATATGAGCTATTATACCATGCCCTCCATATATGGCCAGTGTACGCGTCAGTTTAAAATTGGAAGCTAGCTGAGATTTTTTTTTTGCGAAGGATAGAACGGCGCCCGAAGCAAATTGTTTTAATTCATTTCTTAGAATACTAGAAATGCAATTTCATCGAAAGAAAAAAGACAAAAACAAACAAAAAAGCCACAAGAGCTTGTTTGAAAGTTTGTCGAAAAACACATGAAAACACATGGAACTAAAGTACCTTGACCAGCTACGAAAGAAGACAAGTGTTGTTTCTTCATGATCGCGAAGCCATTCGCCGATCGAGTCACTCGTGGATAGATAACTGCAGCTTGTTTATCCGACGTCAAGAATATAAATCACAAGTAACCAGCTACAAATGCAGGCTACGCAGCCATTCACTAGAGCAATCGAGGCGGCAGTATAGCTTCATTTCTCGTTCAGCAAAGCCAGCTTGTGGCTTCAAACAACTTCATAACAAGCGACCGAGGTAATAGTTTTCTCTGCTGTTCTTACTTTTATAACTGCACTGAAAATCCAAATTCACAGTAATTTCGACGGCTGTCACTTAAAAATTCTTTTCCTTCACATTATCTGCCAGGTTTTTTTAGCTATTCTGCTGTGTAAAATCCTAGAATCCCGATGAGTTTTTAAAAAACTAATGTTCATCGCTACAATGTTTTGATTTTTCATTCATG